AACTTGAAATTTCCATATAATTTTGAATGCTATATCCGATGAAAACGTAAAACAGGTAGATCAGTTTTTCAATGAAGAAGGAACGTCTTTTCTGCAGCATATTCGACATTAGTGCGAATATTCACTTAAGAGGTATGATATGAAAGAAAATAATACTAAGATAAGAAATATATGTAAAAGCATTTTTCGATTAGAATAAACTAATCTAAGAGAAATACTATTGTTTATAGTTCATTATAGAGAATGTCGAGATTCCTCTTCTTTTTCTTTCAACCTTCTCGAACCAACTTCCTCTTAAAAATTTTATAATAATCTAACTACTCTACGTTATTCATGTATAATTCTTCAAGTATTTTCATTTGTGTGAATCCAATGTCGAGTGTAATGAGAGCGTTCTTGAACAGGTAGATTAATGATTTTCGTATGAGATGATTCATGATCATTTCCATTCATATCATTCTCATTTTTAATTGGTTTAAATGAAAAATCAAGCGTTTGTTGATGTTGTTGTTGATAATGTTGTTGCCGTTGCTCAACATTATTATTCGGTTGTGTTAGATCTTGTAATGATTGTGAACGATATTGAATAATCTGAAATGGTGAATGAGGATGATGTTTTAACAATGATGACGTTGTTGATGATTGTTTAAACGACTTGGTAGATTGATTATTTAGTTTTGCTGATTTTGGATAAGTATTTTCGTCGTTGCTATCATCATAATCGGCACTCAATACCCCATGTTTTATACACATTTCATCCACAAGTCTATTAAAATCATCGTTTATTATTGCATCTCCATTTATACTTGAATTTAACGATTGATTTTGATCCTGACTACCATTAACGATCGTTTGTGGTGATGCGATGTTATTATTATTATTTGGACGAACTTTATACACAACTATTTTTTTATTCGGATGTGTTTGTTTAACCCTCGAAAATATATTTGCAAGTTCATTTGCATTTAATGTATTACCTTCGATACGATAAACAGCTGTTGGCGACCCAGAAGACGAGTTTAATAAACGATGATTTGATGTTGTCGTATTCGTTGTTGTTGAAGATGAATCGATTGTTCTTGTTGGTGTACGTTCATTTTTTGTACGATATCGACGTTGTCGAGGGCTAGATTGATTTTTTTGTTCATTATTATGTTTTTGTATGTACGATGAAGGTGGTGCTGGCGGTGGTAAATGACGGGCGTTCTCGTTAGTTTTATTTGAGCGAAATGAATCGGTTCTACGTGTTTTAGATGCTTCATAACGTGGCGTGTGTATGATATTATTATTCATATCATATATTGGATCATGTGATGACTCGAAACTGTGATGCATTGATCTATCGTTGAGATCTTGATTAATTTGTATTGATGAGTTAAATAATGGATATTGAGATTGTTGCTGAGATGATGGCATTGAGTAGTGTGACAAATCATCAGAATAATTACTAGAGAAATAAAAGAGTAAGACACTTGAAATATAACACACCTGTATTCTGTGTGCTTTTGTATACTGTATCTGCGATCAAAGAAAAGGTTAATAATAAAAATAATTCATAAGCATAATTCGAAATATAGTTTAATCTTTTTTGTAGAGAAATTTTTAACATACTAATAAACCAGTTTTCTTGCAAAAAAATTTCACTAGTTTATTTCTTATTCACTTCGAAAAATTATGAAATATTATTTACCTTTGTTGATTGAAAAGTGTTTGCTCTTTGAATATTCGTTGTTGTTGTTGTTGTTGTTGCTGCTGCTGATGTTGTTTATTATTATTTGTCGTATTTACTAACAATTTTAATAGAATATCACGTTCACCTTTGATTTCGTTTATCGTTTCAATAAGTAACGATTCATTTAATTTTGCGCGTAAATATTCATTCTCTTTTAATATTTGTTCACGTTCATCCATTAGACGATGAATAAAATTTATAAGTTCATCATTATTTAAAACATTAATTCTTTGCATATAAGACGATAACGACGAATAATGAGAATAAGATGAATTTTCATCATGGATTCGTGTATTATTATAAGAGTTTCTATTTGAATCATCCAATGAATTTAGATGCAATGAATCCAAAAAATGCATTGATTATTAACTCCTAGAACAAACGGTTACACATCATCCATCATATTGTCCATTTAAATGAAATATGAGAAAAAAACTCAGAAAATATTAAAATCTACATAGATATCTGTTTTTTTCTGATACTCACTTTCTAAGAAATAGTTAACAGTCAAAGCTTATCTTACATCTTTCTGAGATAACGGTATATTGTTAACAGAAAACTGTCATTCACACTGATTACAAAAACATGTCTGTATGAGATCTTATTTTTTCGCAAGATAAACGTGCACGAACTCTTTCTCATTTTCGATAAGAAATTCTAATAACATATAGTCAATTTGTTATTAAGTATATGTTTACGTGGCTGAGATATTACATATTTTTTGTTCTTTTCTATTCAATGTTCAACATACCACCCTTATCTCAGTCATTCTATTATTATTATTATTTTTTACATGATCCAATCTATATGAATAGTTCAGTTCAATTCAATTCTCTAAATTTATTATTCTGATTTAATGACAGATAGAGACCACCCTTTCGTCTTTATCCGATATGATAAAGTTTTTATTTATTGTATATTGAGGAGTAGTGTTATATATATATATATGTATAATGAATATGTGTCGAAAGTAAAAGAACTTGATAGCAATTGTTTTCTTTAAAAGCATAACGAACACGATACTTGTCCTGAACTATTGACTTGTAAATTAAAAGTATTAATACATTTCTACGTGATTTCGTGTATATTGGGCATAATTCAAAATTCTTTACGTTTATTGAAATCATCAATCTATATTATATATAAGATCAACTTGACAAGCACAAATCAAACATAATATTTTGAACAGCTAAGAATTAAATACTTTTGAGAAGAATAAAAAAATCAGTATTAATAAAGAGAACTGATTCCAGTCTAAGAAATGATTTCTGGATGTTTGCTTAAATACTGTTATTCGATAGTCATATTTAATCTTAGCAGAAACTTATTCTATAAATTCAAAAGGTTAAGAAAACATCACCACTTTTGAATAAACAGGAGAAAGGTTAAATTCACTGTTTTTCATACTAATCCAACGTACAAATTAAATGCCAACTTCGACTTGATTAGAAGATCTTCCAAATTTATCAGATGTAACGCCCTTCTGATGAGACCAGTAATCATGTCTCGGTTCAGTTCTCTCCCTAATAAATAAGCAAGGAGAAAATGTTGATGAATAAGTCTCGGTAGTATTCTCTAAAAAATTAAAATTACGTATCTGTTAAATACGTATCTGTGGTATATTTTTATGAAATAAAATTGAAAAGTCTGTCTAAGAGCTTAAAAGAACATGAAGTTTAAAAAACTCTTGAAAATTGTTTTGCAAGACGTCTCGTAAACACATCAGAAGTTTTGAAATCATTTTATTAATCCTTTGGGTTTATAAGTAAATTTGGAGATCTATCTATCTTTAATTCCTTCTTTTTTTTTTTTTACTTCTATAATTGACAATATCTTATATCAAACAGAAAAAAAAGTAATCAAGATATACCTACTAAAATCTTCTTTTCATAGCTTCTTAACGTACAACTAAATATCCAAATACAATCAATACGATTACCATTTAGAAGAATTACATACTTCAACAAGAGTTTTTTTTTCGTTTTCGTTTTTTCTTTCGTCGTGGCCGTTTTTTTTTTTTTTATTATTAATTTGTGATACTTTGCCACTTACATTTTACCTTGAACACTAAAATATTTTCTCTTGTTTCTGCTTTACGGTATACTGAAATTTACATATACGTTAAAGAGAGACATACTTCAAGTGATGCTTCATTATGTTTATTTAGAACAAAAAGAAGTACGACGTAGATCAAAGAAAATGTTTTTAATATGGTTTTAGAAACATACATTGATGTCAATGCACACTTTTTTCTGATTCTTTTAATTCGTGTGCTGGAATATCATGTACACGTGTAAGGTAAAAATGCATTTTGAACACAATCTAAAGAGAGACATTTGATAACCAGATTGTTTAATTTGTTAAATAGATTTGAAATCGAAGGACGATGGCACTTGAACGACTAAAGTATTTTTAACGTTTAGTTAGAAGGAAGAGGTAAGACATTCGAATACAAACACAAAAGAGGAAAATAGTTATTGAGATAAACGGTAAGACTCAATTAAAATTCACAAAATATTGTATTTCATAGCTGTCAATCAAAGAGATTGCGAAAATGTTGTTATTGGAGAATCGATTTCAATATTTCGAAGATAGGATCAAAATGAACTTGCGTAGTTAACTTTATATACCTTTAAGGGCCCTCGGATGTCTCTATGTGAGAGCTGAAACAGTTCAAGTTTCTACAGTTCCTGAGAATTGGGTAAAAGAAGTTGTTATCAGTTCTATTCAAAAGTAAGGAAATTACTATGACTGTGTGCGGATACTTTATGAAAAATTTTTGTTTTTACTTTAGCAAATTTCTAAAACTTTGTCCAGTTTTGTGAGTAAATCTCTTCAATGTTTCACCTTTTTAAGAAATATCCTTATAGCAATAGTTTCCGTTCTTTTGAAAAGAACATGTAATCAGTTTTTGTTCAAAAAAAACTATCTAATTTATACGCTACATCTTCGTGCCATTTCTACTCTTCTTCATATTATCATAAGATTTTAGCTATTTTTATCTAATTTTTGCTGCAGAGGTTACCTAAACATGCCATGGAACATGCCGTGATTCAATTGAGATTCCTTGTTAGAAATCTTAAGTTTAAATAAAAAATTGATATTGAGATGAATATGAAATTGGATAGTTGATTTTGTGTATTCTCAAAATCTCTGATGACTCTGACAAAAGGTTTCCGAGGAAAAAATTCTCTTGAAGCCTTCAGTATACGACATTTTGGAATTCCTCTTATCGCGATAATTTTTGAGTGAATAATTCGATTTTAAAGATGGTAGTGTGTAAAGTAAACGTTTTTGAACTAAATAAGACGTGATGCGGCTATGAAAGATGCTTGGATCAAAACTTGTGAGACGTTTAAAGTATATCCCAAAGTCTGTATGATGCACTATTTTAAGACGACTTTCTCGCTTCTCATGTTCAATATTAACTACAATCTCTTAAAGCTGTGAAATATTTTGAAAATTAAAGTTGATATATATGGATATAGAGATTAATAAAACAAGAATTTTGAATTTCTATGTTCTTTTGTATAAAGAGAAAGATTTCTGGAAAGTTTTGAACCGTTGTTTACCATTTTCAACTTGTAATATCTACAGAAATTCACAAAGTAAAAATTAGAAAATCAAGTTGTGTCAAGTTGGAACAACATGTGTTATATTCAATTTAAAACAATTTCGACCTGCTCTCCATCATCTGTCGGAAGGAAACTTATAAGAAGTAGGAATAACTTTATTCTGGCCACTCTCATAGTGACATATCAGGAACAATATTAGACCCTTACAAAAAATTTCGTCAGTATTATCCTTGACAACATTCTGTGAAAGTCTGGATCAGAATTGACCAATCAATTACTGCAAGGTAAATTTCTAACAAAAGTCTAGATAAAATAAACAATTTGATTCTCAATGGTCTTACTTATTGAAGATTATTTCTCTTATAAAATATTTTCGTACGTGATGTAAAAAAATTTTTACCCAATTTTAGCTTATGAGAATTAGAAAGAACTATAAACAAACACAAAGGACAAATTGTTTTTTTCAGCACACGATAGAAGACAAATAAGTGCTAAAATTAAAAAAATTCTTTTTTAACATTTTAGCATTTTTACTTGGTGAAACCTTTGAATCTTCAAAGAATGTGTTGATTGAATGCAAGCGTTTCAAATAAATAAGAAAAACGAAATAATTAAAGTATGTATAAATAACGAACATGAAGCCATTGAGTGGTTCGTCGGCTGATCATTATGTAAGGTCAATATTCTACCTGAGTTTAGAAATCGGTTGGAGAGGATGAAGAAGACAGTGAATGCGTACATAGGAGTTGTTTCATATGAAATCAATCTTTTTAAGAAAATACTTTTTGAGTTAAAAACGTTTTTTCGTTGATTCGATAACTAATGCTTAAAAAGCCTATTTTTATCGGGTATTAGATATCCAATAAGAAAAAGATTCTAAAAACAGTGCCTAGAATACTTTTTTTTCATTTCTAGTCTTTATTTGTTCATTATCACTTGCTCCAAAAAATCTTGAACTGTTAGGTTATTGTTCGATTACACGATAGATACAATCGTACAATAAACTAATAATTCATTCACTGTTCGAAGACAAATATTATGTAATTTAATCTCTTCGAGTATATACTTAGGACCGTGGCGATAGGGGGACGTAAGGGAGTGTATGTCCTCTTGCTTTTTGGATTTGTTACTTTCTCCTGCTCATGATCTTTCTATAAAATATTTCACAGATTTACATTCCTCCTGATTTTTTGTCTACATGGTAAAAAAAAGCGTCCAGAAGTTGACGCTTTTTAGTGGACGGTTTTTTCGTCACATCTTGGTATGCTTTTTTGCTAGACGGTTTTTTTCTAGACGAATTTTTTCGTATGTTCTTTTTGTTAAATGGAAAAACAAAATTTGAAAAGATTTCCAAATAATATTTTATTCAGTTTTCAACGCACTATACTTCGGAAGTACGCCTTATCTGCTGGACCGATCTACTATCGCAGGAAATCAGTCGTTTCTGAGATAAGCTAGTGCAATGAAACGAGTCATCTATGCAGTATGCACTTAAATACTATGCTTGGACGAATTTTTGTCGACGGTTTTTTTAGTATACTTTTCGTGGACGTTTTCTAGTGAGCGCTTTTTTGGACGCTTTTTTTTTAATCGTGTATCCACGGTCCTGTATATACGTACCATTTTTTCAGTATTTTAACACCAAAGTATACAATTATTACCAAAGTAGAATTAAATTTAAGACGAAACCTTCCCTTTTATTAAGTAAGATTTCATCTGCGTTCTCGAAGCGTGTATCCAATGCAATAGTGAACTCTGCTGCTCTTCGAGTTAACTCAGAATGAAAAACATTTAGAGAGTTCCGGTTTTGATTGTTTTAAAGAGAGAATTGAAGCACAGCTTTTCAAAACAACTTTCAAAATTCTCTTCAAGCGTAGAATTTTGAGAGATTCTTCGAAAAATGAGTCTTATTCTTTAATAATTACAATTCAATGAAGTAGTCTCTTTAAGTAAATAGATAGTTTAAAGTGTGCTGTTCATAAAGGAAGGTTAAAAACCTTGCTTTTCAGTGGTTTGGACTGGATTATCTTTGGAGCCGTAGGATACGTACCAGGCACAGTATGAATGCAGGCGAACATTTAGCGAAAAATTGAAAGTGCTCTTTTTCCAATTCAAATGGTGGAGAATATACTTCATTATATGAGGTATTTAATTGCAAAACATTTTTTGTTTCAACTGCTAAGAAACCTGGGAAAATAGTTAACCAAAATTAACCGGAAATATAGGGACAAAAAGTAGAACATTTTTCTTTTAGAATCGAATAGAAATAAACATAAAAACGTCATTTTTCATAGACTTCGGTTTTTTTAGGTAAAATCTAATTTTCTCATTCCAGAAATGCCTCTAACAAAAACTAGTGGTATATTTGAAAATAGCATGAGAAACTGCACAGAACAATGTATCAAACGTTAAGTTTTGAAACGAACAATTATCCATCGAAAATTTTCCCATGAATTTTTAAAATTGAGTTTTTCTGAAAACGTTTTGTTTTCTTTAAAGGTATCCAAGATGGCTATTCAATGATAATTATTCATGGAAAAATGGTAAAAGAATCAAAAAATATTCTGATGTTCGCCTGCTATTAAAGAAATGCACACTGTGTCAAATGACTTTGGGCAGCCTTAAAATCCAATGAGACACATGTAAACGATCAATGTTGAATATGATGATAATATTTGTTGTTGAACCAAAATTAAAACTGATGAAAACTGAATGTTACGAAAATCAGAACCCTTAATGTTAGTTTGACTATGAAACATAACTTCAACACTCCGTCTTTTCACGATCATGATCTTCATTGAAATCATACTTCACATCACCTATGTTTTTGTCCTATTTAGTGTTTCGAAAATAAAAAATTTGTTTCTCTGGTATAATTGAATTTTATTACATATACATACACAAACAAAGAAATAAGGAATAAATAAGATTTATACGTCGAAAAATTTATGAGTGATCTTTTTTCCCGATATTTCACGAAAAAAAAATTTGCAAATTTTCACATTGTTACTTTTTTTAAACACACACGCGCAAAAAGAAAAAAGATGAGACGCACGACAAACTAAGCATTTGGTGCTAATAAATTTTTCAAAAAATCATCTTGTAAACATCCATTAATAAATTCATCTTTTGTTAATGTTCTATCACCATTTAAATCTAATTTAGTCATGATTTTTTCTACACGTTTCGATGGTGAATTTTCACCTTTACGATTCTCTTCGCCAAGTAAATCGTAAATAGCCTGAAAGATGAGAAGAAAGAGTTAGTATAAAGAGCGGATCAGAATTACGGAAACGATTACTGACAGAATTACTGAAACGAACGTTTCAATAATTCTGATTCACCCTTTATATAAAAGATATTTTTTAGGTTTTAATGTACCGTCACAATTTGTTCCATTTCTTTTGCATCGACTTTTCCATTTTTGTCAATATCTAAAATATATGCATGATTTCACAACAAGATAATATTTCTACATTTATATAAAAATTCTATATAAAATGTGTCATTTTAGTACACATTTTTTAATACACGACACCAATTGAATAGTTTACATTACGTTTAATGGACTATTGTATTCATTTCTCACGTAAACACATTATCACGACTACGTATTTAGATATAGCTCAATTTTATTAGATTCTTAACAGTAATAACACGCTTTTAGTTTCGTTTGTCGTAGACTTTTACATACAATAATTGTAACGGTTTTCTAGTAGATAACGTGATAGCCTCAAAGAGTAGAATAAGCTTATTTCCATGAACAGTCGATGTGTCTTATATCTCTCATGACAATTTTGAATATGTCGAAAAGAAAACTCTCTTTTTATCTTGATGGACAGACATTAGTAAGAGATTTCATTAAGCAGTGATCGTCCATTCCACATATAACTCAATTAAAAAACTGGTTTTCGACACTTTTTTCTATTTTCTTATCCTTATCTCTGTTTGTGGAATGCTCGTAATTTGATATTTAACAACATCATTGGGACACATATCTACACACTTAACTTGACTTATAATTACTTGATTAACATGTTTATCCGCAAAAGTACAATGTACAAACACACGTATGCACATAATCATACTTGAACCATCATCGCACTTTCATTATGTATTATTAATGTACTCATTCTTTTAAGTGTATTAAACTCACTTACCATACATATTGAATGCCATATTTAGCTTCTCTTTAATATCACCATGAGATGTTACAGAGATGGCAATTAAAAATTCAACGAAATCTTTAAAGAAAACAAAATATGAGACTTGTATGTGACAAGATAGAGATTAGTACTTTTGACAAATTACCGCATGCAGTAAAAAATTCTCACTTACCAATTTCTCCACTGTTATCTGTATCAAATGTCTAAATAGTAATTAGAAATATGAATGCTTATTATTAAAAAAATATTATGTTCGTCAATACATTTATTTACCTTAAACACATGACTACAAAATTTATCCGCTTTTCCCGTTGGATAAAATTGTTTGTATACTTCAATAAATTTCTTCTTGTCTAATTTACCTTTTGAACAATCTTTCTAAAATAAAAGATAGACAATTCAATATGACATTCATTCTAAACATAATTTCTCTTTCGACTTTTTACTATTGAAAACCAAAGTATATAAAAATATAAAAAACTTCTATATAATTAAAGGACAAACTATTTTGGTAGTGGTTAGATCGTCTCAATCGTTAAACAAGTATCATGGTCTATCTTTTAAGATTAATTGCGAATAATTTGTGTTTTTGTTTATATAAATAAATTGTAGAAAAGGTCATATGTCATTTTCAAAATATGGGAAAAATATTTACCATAATTTCTCTATTTTTTCTCTCCCACACATACAATCAATTACTTCTATTCCAATTAGGGATACAATGATAACGGTAATTTATTGATTTACCGTTTTACCGGTAACTATTATCGATACATGCCTAATTCTAATATTTTCAATATACTAAAATATTTTTTGTTTAAGCTTTAATCAGATATAATCTTGAATGAGAACAAAATCGAGAATATAAATTCCCATTATGTTATTCTGAAGCTTAAACGATCAAAATATAAAATCAATCCTTGCACAAAGTTGGAATCGAATACACAAATTTAATCTTTGCAGATGAACTGCGAACGAAATATTTTTTAAAACTATTTCATAAAGTCATTTTTTAATTCAAAATATATTTACAAAAAAATTTTAGTCAAAATATAACGCATTTTCTAAATTCTCTCTTTTCATAAGATACTGTCTAAATAATTAATGAGAAAAAAAGAAAAAGATTCTTTTGTTTATCTTGTTGTTATCATACATCTAAACCATGGTTAGAAAAACTATTGTACTATTGTAAGTGATAAACACAGTTTTATCAATTTTTTTTTTCTTCTTCTACTAATAACCATTTGAGCTATTCATTCATTTCCCATATATCTGTCACGACAGCTTCTGTTGTCAATATACGCTTGTTCCACTTGATAACGGAAGGAAGTTTCTCTTTCTCTCTCTCTCTCTCTCTCTTTCTTTCTTTCTCGATCTATCTATCCATATGCACACTTAAGTTTTGTTTTTATTATGTGTCTATAGTCAAACAAAACTATTCAAATATTCTCTCGAGTATCTCTAATGGATGTTTAATAAGAGACACAAAAAAATATTATTTTTGCATAGTTCACTATATGAGTACAAGAATGAACAGACACCGTATATTACACAAGAATAAAACTACATACTGCCAGTTGTCTCAACTCAATCATTCGAATAATTAATCCTATCATTGTATTTTAATCACTATTCCAATAACAACAAAAACCCAACAATATTAGCATTAATGGGCCATAGAAGCGTGAAAAATAGAAGTGATGTCAGAACTAGAATAATAATGGGACATAAATACAATCATATATTTTCATTTCTTTAGATAGAAATAGATATAACGTTTACATTTTTTTTTTTTGATTATAAACAACAATAACAAAAAAAAAAAAAGAAATAGTATTCGTTTTTGAAAATAAAAAACAGAAATATTTGAATATTGACATGTTGAACTTTTTCTCTTCATTTTTTATTCATATTGTCAAATAGTCATATTGACTTTTTTAACATTATCTGCTCCCTTTTAAAATAAAAAATTGATATTTTTACTAAAAAAAAAATTTTTGACAAAAATCTAGTCACAAATATATTTATTTACTTTTAACATATTTTTATTGATTTTCTACTATTAAGATTGCACTTCTAGTATTTTTTCCTTAATCGTTACTATTAATTATATGGTATGAACGCCCGAATAGACACTTGATTATTGTGTGACGAATACGAACTCAATATGAATTACTAGAGAAACCATTTATTATTTACACCAAGAGTCATATCAAATTTATGATATTTGATAAACTGTTATATCTGACAAGCAGAAGAAGAAATAAAAAGATTAAAACTTACTAAAAATCCTGCATGCCATTCATTAATTTGTTGACGATTAAAATGTGTATTTTTTAATAATAATTGAATTTCTTCTTCAGTTAATGTTGTTGCACGTTTTTTTGATTTACTTGAATCGGACCCCATAATTTAACTTCAATTCTTTCTTGTATTTGGTAATAGTTATTCTTATTGTATTAGTAATTGTAGTAATAGTAGTAGTATCATACAAAAAATTGGTAGGTAGAGTGTGAGTAGTTTGGTTCTCTCTCGTTTTTATGTTAACTCACACCAGATGTATATGTAAGTAAGTAACTAGTACATATAGTTGAGAAGAAGAATATCTATCTGAATAATAATAATGATAATAATAATACTACAACAAAAAAAAAAAAAGTAAGAAGGGGGCATAAAAATATCAGAAGAAGAAGAAAAAAACTTGAGAACAAGCAGAAGAAAGAAGCGAGAATGAAAGAAGAGAATACTGGCAATTACTGAGCTATTATAGAGAATGTACTTTTTCCTCTCTCACTTTTTGTCGTTCTAACACCCTCCGCAACAAAGATAATGTATCTGTTGACAGACATATTATAGTCTCCTTCTCTCTCGTCCTCTGCCACTATCTGTTTAAAGTTTGCTTTTATATTGTCCAGCTCAGTTTGAGTGGAAAGTCACACTGCGAGTCTTTCTACACTTCTAGAGTTCATAGGAAGTATACTTATAAATCTTATGCTGCTGGTATAACTTACTTTAACAATGATATTATCATCTTATAGTAAAAGAGCTAATTTAATCATATTGAAAAATCCTACATATATAAATAATTAGGGATAGGAAAGTACTGACAATAGTCGGATATGTGTGGAAAAAAAATAAGAAAACGAGAAAATAATGAAAAGAGAATCAGAAAAAAAAATTTTTTCAAAAAAAGAAAGACATCCACATATTCACAGTTTAAAGCCGTTAATAACAATTCGAAAATAAAGCCAAATTGATTGAAAAAAAAAATGCTTTTTATATAGGAAATATCCATTAGCATATTGATAAAGAAAATTCTAATCCAAACAGATGGATGACGATTATCATCTAGAACTGATCTAAATTAGTACAGATTATTTATATTTCTCTCTAATAATTAATAGAATTTTTCTCTAAAATTTTCAGCGACGCGATTACGTCTATGCATATTTCTGGTATTTCAATCAATAAGTCAATTTTCAATAAGAATTGATCAATCATATTCTAGCTTAGCAAAGAAAAGCCTGGTTATTATACCTATAATTCTTTATTTTTTTCGATGTCAATCATTACCAGAAGTAATATACGTTGTTTGATTATATAATATCATAAAGATATCGGTAACAATGTCGTTTCCCAATAGGCAGCAAAAAAGATGAAAAATACTCTTTCTGTTTAATCTAAAAACTGGATTCAAAAACATATGTCATTCATAGAGAGAAACAGAGTAAACGAGAGATGTGCACTTCGGAAAACATAAATAAACTTGTTCCAAAAACTGTTCTGTCAAACTAAAATTAGCTAAAGATGAAAAAAATAACATTATTATTTTCAGATACCAAACATTTTCCATGACATTTTTTCATGACATTTTTAATCCAATACACTGCATTTAGTCCGTAGTCCAGACAAATGCTTATTCCAATTTTTTATGCATTTGAATTTTGGAAAAAAAGTCTTAAGTGATAGAACATTCATGTGAAAAAATGATATGTAAGGAAATGGCGCGCAAAGCAATGTGTTATATTTCTTGTTGCAGAATCTGCATACAGAAAACCAATTGATCTAATAAACTTAATTAAAAACTTTTCTATTCCTTTTTACGCTTCTACTATATTTAGAGACATTAAAATTCATTTAGACTGACATGTCGAGAAAAACAAATAGGAGAATAGGTTGAGCTCTTTTCGAGAGAAAAGCGTGGAAGATGAAAAAAAAATCGAAAAATATAGGGGTGTACACCTTGACACTCGGTTATCGTCTTTTGGCATAAAATGTATCGAGTCGTTGGTGACAAAATGTGAACGTGAAAAGTTATACGAAAAGTTCTGTAAAGCTCTAAAATGAGCAACTTTTTAACATATTTTTCACCGAATTAAAAATTTAGAATTTTTTTAAATAGCAGACTAAGTTTTGTGATACTGTTAGATGTAATTAAGAATAAAATTGTAACAGTGGCAGAATTCAAGAAAAATATTTTTTTTCTAATATTTCGATCCTTTATTAGATCCTTATCAAATAGTTTAAATTCCAGTTTTTCATGTCACCGAAATTTTTATAACTTTGAAGAAATTAACTTCTGAGTTTCAAAAAGGTTGTCTACATGAGTAACAGGATGTGCTCTACAATCTAGCAGTATCAGAGTATGTCCAACTAGAACCTCATGATAGTTCTCTAGACATTTAGTGTCTATGAAGAATCTATGAGTACAAACGAATAGCAGATTTGGGCACTTTTTGATCATATCACTTCGCATATTCCAAGAACGAAAGTTAGAGAACATTTTGTATTTAGATATAAGAGACAGACGATTTCTGTTTGGTTTAAGTTTTTTCTTAAACGAGAATGAAATTTCTGTTATACTGTTCTGTTCAAAACAAAATTCGCAACGTTGAAGTACAAATTACTATTTTATTAAAAACTTAAATGTGAAGGCAAGATAATGGTTTAGAATTTCAACAGACAAGAAATCGAAAGTCTGAAAATACATTGTCAATGTTGCTGATTCATGCAGAAAAGTAAAACATAATAAAATATTCTGTTATATCATCTGAAACTATGATTCTTCGCTAGGATCATTCAAAAACATTCGATTTAATTATATAAGTTAAAAGAGAAAAAAACAGACTCTTCCACCGTGAAGTAATAGCTCAGACTTATTTGTTTTGTATCTAACATTCATTAGTCACAATCTAAACGCAATAAAGTCTTCATGTTACGTTTTAACATTTTTAGAAAAAAACGCATATTTTGTTGTTTTCATAATTGCGCGATTTAAACGCATATTTTGTTGTTTTCATAATTGCGCGGTTTAAACGCATATTTTGTTGTTTTCATAATTGCGCGGTTTAAACGCATATACCTAATCAAGAATATTTTTCATTCACCACTTTTTCTACTGTACTAGAGTCTTGTACCATCGGCTACTTCTCTAGCTATTACTCAAAGTCTATCATGACTCGAGAAAGAGAAAAGCTTAGAAAATAATTTCTAAACGAAAAGTAATTAAGAAGCGGTGCACAACATTTTCAAAGTTTATCTATATTCCACTTTTTTCATTTTGTTATAAGATCTTTTTCGCTCTTTTACGTGTTTTTAGTTAAAACTAGTAATAAAACGACTAGAATGCGTTTTTCTGTATAACATGTTTAAGAGAAAACGGAAAAAAAATGCGTTTAAACGAGTTTGAATATAATATAAGGGATATGTGAGTGAGAAGAGGAAAATCTCGCTCACTTGAGAGACTCCTATTGCTCAAAATCTCATAAGCGGGTGTGAAATCAAGATGTCTACTTTTATGGAATATCCCTTATGGATTATACCATAATCGAAAGTCATTAAACAGTAGAAAGCAGAGCCTGAAACGAATCGAATAATTCGGCATTCGATTCGATTCGGGATAACATTTCTGAATCCTAAACTTAAATCGGCAAAACTCCGAAACGAATCGAATGCGGAATTATTCGATTTTCTTTGGGCTTCGGGAGAAAGTAAGATCAAATAAAATGCGACCAACTGTGTCTGAGATTATAAAAGATGATTTTTGTTCGAACAATTTTTTAATAATTTAGAAAATAGAAAGCAAAGAAAAATGACATTGAAGAGTAGAAGTCTTTTCTCCTCTTGAATTAAACTACGGTCCAATAAATATTAAATTTATTTCCAGATTTCCTTATTTATACAAAAGAAATATCCTTGTTAGCACAGGTGTCAAAATCAGGTGAAGGAAAACCTTCAAACACCGATTCACAGAAACTTGCTTTTCAGTGTTCAAATAGAAAGAGTACGACTAAAAATTGTCTAAAAATGATAATAAATGCAAAAGTGAATACTGGTTATAAAATGCGTTAGCAGATTGCGATCAGTCTGAAAAGTATTTCTTTGTCTCATAGCTCAAGTATTTAATCTATTTATACCATTGATACAGTCTAACACCATAACTTTTTAATTGTATAAAACTGCGTTAGAAAATAACTCATCTTAACATAAGATATTTCGTATCATATAATATAATCGCGTTAATTCGACAAATAATGTTCTTTATCACCATATAATGCGATAAAATCCTAATAGTCTTAACAAAAAGTATCATCGATCTCATGAATGTATGACTGATTTTCTGTATGTGCAGATAAACTGTTAAATGAGTTGATATAAGTTGTTAGAACCTTTATTTAGAGAAAAAACGCTCTTTTGCATAACCTACCTGCACATTTGGTTGTCACATGTAGTATAAAAGAACTTTTAGTTTGAAAAAAGTTTTCTTTTCTATATCATTTATTATTGTCCAGATGTGGAAAAATCCGTTATCCGATTCGATTAATTGATTATACGTTTTATTGACACATATCGATGACATTTTTCTTCTCTTTTCTTTGGCTAGAGTCCCTGTTATTTTTTTTTTAAACAAAACATCATGTTTCGAGTATTTTTTCAATCAACCATCTGGTTTACTACTATCATTTTTTGTGAGCTACATATGATTACCGTTTAGTATATCACATAATTCATACTGGATGAACTAAGAATTTATCGAAAAAACTTGCGTTAGTTAAATAATCTTTACAACTGATCACTTCAACACAATGAATACTGATAACGTTAGTTTATAATTTATTAATCTAAAATTACAGTTATACTATATTATTAAACACCATTGAAACAGATGCTAGAGACCAAAAAAAAAATGTTAGATCTACCGACTCGAATTCTTTGACATTAGAAGGCCTAGTCTAAAAAGTTTCGATAAATCAAAAATACTAGCCACAGTATGGAAAATAGACTAATAGGATTTTTTCTATACTTCTTGAAAACGTGGTTTCTGAAGGATCAGTTTTTCAGAAATTCTAAAAAATAATCAAAACTTTTGTTAACGAGGTATAAGGTGTAACTCGCAAATTTCCGATTAA